TGTCTCTCTCTCTTCTCCCCTCTCTCTCTCTCCAAACAATATCGTAATTGTTGGGTATGACGCCCATTCAAAGCAGAGATCTATTGTCGAAGTAGATAGTTCTCTGTTTACAGAATATCGCTGGGGTTAACGAAGATTTTATCAATTCTAACACACAATAAATGTCACATTAATACTATAATTCATAATAATTCATAATAATTAATATATATTTATACTTACTATAATCATATATTACCTATATAATAATGAATTGAAAACAAATATGATTAGACACACTGAACAAAGGCTTAGATGTTCTTGGGGATAAACCTAACTGAATGTCGACAGGTAGGCGACCTAGGGCTTTGGGTTGGCAAAGGTGAACAAATAAAGGGATGGGGGTGTTAACGGCATTTAAAGACCAAAACTCCAATATATATATATACAAATACGAAAAAACATGCAATTCAAATTAAGAAAAAATAAAAATGAAATCAAATGAAATGGGGTTTAACGTCCTACTTTAATGCTCCGCCTGGGATAATGCAGTGTGTTATGAGGGAAATTATGCCCGGACAGCGGCGCTGTGGCCTACTGTTATTTCGAATTCCAATGTCTACACAGGACTTTGGTTTTTGGACCCATCCGGGCAAAGCAGGGATAGAACACGGGACCTCCGAGTTAGCGAACCAACGTCTTACTCACTGAGCCCCCGCTGTCCCCAAGCGAAAGTAGCGAAACAACATTTAAAAGATCTTTTCAATTAAAGCACACTGAGAGAGCTATAGGCTACAGTCCCTTGCAAACTACAATATTAAGAAAGCTTGGAACCACGGTGGTTGGGTGGGTAAGACGCTGGCTCGTTCGATCCCTGCATTGGCCGAAAAAGTTTATCGGAAATTTCCGGCGTGGCTTCCCCTTGTCAGTGGTGCAGGACGGAGGGCCTAACAAGGACAGTTGTCTAGTGATTCGCATGGGACGAAAAACTGAGGACTCGTGTATACATTGGCGTGCACGTAAAAGATCTCTTGGCAGTTGGAATTCCATATAAGAGTAGGCAGTAGAACCGCTGTCCGGGCAAAATTTCCCTCATAGCACACTGTATGGCGTATGTCCGTCTTCATTAGCCCACTCAATGCATATTAACGTAAATATAAAGCCGTGAGAAATTTGATATTTTCATAAAAATGCAAATCACGCATGGTTATACCATCCACGCCAAGTACCTGTCAAGGAGTAAGGTCGCCTGTCCAACCTCGTGGGTTTTCTCCGGTTCCTCCGGTTTCCTTCCACTGCTAAAGACCCGTATGCTGCGCAAAAGAATTATTGAAATAAAATTGAACCAATATATCTTAGTCCCGGAATGACCTAATTTGGGTCGACTGGACGTTAAACCCCATTTCTGCCCGTCTGTCTCTCTAACGACCTCGCCCAGCGTTTGCACAGCGGGTTATAACATGCTACGTGTATATTTTGGCCATCCACAAGCTTATCGAATCTTCATGGGCGGATCCAAGAATTTTTTGTAGGAGGGGGTTTGCCAGGTTCCTGAGACAATGTATCTCCCTCCCCCCCCCCCCCCTCTGTATGGCCTCTATCGTCATTTTGGCGTATATACATACACATTGAGCTTTTTAAACAGAGAAATTCAACACCTCATTTGAAGTCAATTTTATTATGAATTAAAACAATGACATTGTGATTCAATTTCATGGATGCAAAGCATTAATTGGGATATCACATAATGTCTATATCATTATCTCGTGCTTTTGAGTGTAAATCCTGTCCCACATCTGACGATAAAGGATAAAGCACAAGGCCGAGAAACTTTTCTCATAGAAAATAGAAAGTGTTGATATACAAAAATAAAGTTTGTTAGGTTTAAAAACTGTTAAAATTTCAAAATTAATATGCAAATTCAATAATTAGTACGATTAAATATGGTGGCTGCTATCGGTCATTCTTATAGATGCATTATGGGAGATTAGATAAAGAGCTGGTAGTTCTCACTATAATATACTATTCAAAAAACGTAGGGGATATTTGATTTTTAAGTGTTATTAAAGTCACCTAATGAAACTGACGAAGAAACAAATGACAAAATGAAATGAAGTTCACATTCATCGATTTATTCCAAATGATCGTTAGACTAAGTAAGGCACAGACTGACCATTATAAGGGTAAAATGATACCCGGGGTCAAACAGCAAAGTTACCACAGCATCACAACCAAGTCAGTAACGGGTAAATCCTCCTCTGTTTGCCAAACAAGCATTGATCCGACGCGGCATACTCCTAATGAGACGTCTAAGGTCATTTTGGTCCAGATTGTCCCATTCCTGTTGCAACGCAGCAGCAAGTTCTTGGACATTGGCAGGACGTTGTTGACGTTGACGTAACCTCTGTCCAAGCATGTCCCAGACATGCTCGATGGGGGAGAGGTCGGGACTCAGTGCTGGCCAAGGTAATGTGGTGATGTTCTGTTGTTGGAGGTAACCTGTAACGATCCTGGCCCTGTGACACCTTGCGTTGTCATCCTGGAAGATGAAACGGCGGCCATGACGTCGTGCGAACGGCACAACATGGACTGCCAAGATGTTGTCCCGGTAGTACTGGCCTGTAACACGCCCTGCAACAACATGTAAAGCCGTTCTTCCAGCAACAGTGATGCCTCCCCACACCATAACAGAACCACCCCCAAATCGATCATGTCTGATGACGTTAACGTCTTGGAAGCGCTCGTTTCGACGACGCCACACCCTCCTACGTCTGTCCAAAAAATCAACAGTGAACCTTGACTCATCTGAAAACATCACATTGCTCCAGCGTCGATTATCCCAGTGTTGACGATCCCTACACCAACGACGTCTTGCCTGAATGTGATGATCTCTCAAACAAGGGATCACGCGAGGACGTCGGGCGCGAAGGTGACCCCTATGCAGTCGATTCCGAATCGTCTGGCCACTCACTCTCACACCAGTGTCTGTTTGAAGACGAGCGCTGATCTGATTTGCTGTGATGACACGATTTCTCAAGGCCAGGGTACGGATAAATCGATCCTGGGCTTGAGTTGTCGCCCTTGGTCGACCTGAGCGTGGTCTGTCCTGTACAGATTGTGTATCACGGTATCTGGACCATAGCCTGCTTATGACAGACTGAGAAACATTCATCGTCCGCGCCACAACCGCCTGTGTTGTGCCGATCTGTAGCATGCCAAGGGCACGTAACCTTTCATTTTGGGTAAGCCGACGCATATCAAAATTTGTTTTCTGGTCACTAAAACAATTAAACTGATGTTTCCACCCTGGAATTCAATGCCACAATGACTGTAACATTCAAAGTCAGAGTCGTGCAAATCTTGGGTTGGACCCCCATGATGATCCCAAGCATCACCTGCATTCCATGCGGTAGCTATTGGTGCGTTTGGGGGTCACATGTAACTGGAAATGTTTCTTCTGTTAGGTTCTATAGTGACTTTTTTCGTAGTCATTTCCATATTTTAGTATTATGCCCCCAAAATCAAATATCCCCTACTTTTTTTGAATAGTATAGTTTAAACCTAAATAATATAAAGGGAATTTGCTGAAAATTTCAATCAAATTGATCCACTCGGAACCGAGTATTTGGCGATTGAATTTTGGGCCTAGCTTCGATCATCATTACTAAAGTCGGTACGATTATCCACTTTTTGATTTAATCAGAAGCAGCAGACCGGGTTCTAATCCGGTAAATATCGAAGGCTAACAATGCCATCGAGATTGATTATGTTCTGGATAAGTTAATTAATGTCTAATTCATAATTTAGATAACATTTGAGGCCTAAACAGAGACCTGCAATGGGCAGATTTAGCTCTTGCATAATGTATGTTTAATTCTCTACCTGTCGGATTGTGAAGTTGATAAGTTGGAAAAAAAATGCGACTTGTTGGGTTGTGAAGACGAGGCGTCGACAAGTCGATAAAATCAACCCGAAAAAATAACAATCGCCGCCTTCATTTTGTCCAATTAACTTCAGAGGCGACAAGTCGCGGCACAACAAGTCGGAATAATTGTATTTTGTCCAATTGTGATGTTGTGTATAAGTCGTAGGCGACAAAGTCGACAGAATTGACAGTGGACAAAATGAAGGCGGCGATAGTCGGGTTATTTAGTCGTGTTGTCGGGTTGATTTGTCGACTTGTCACCTTCATAACCCGTCAAGCCGCGGCACGACAGGTCGAGAAATGGCCATTTACAGCCACCATAATTAAAAGCTGATTTATAGCGAAAAACTATTTTGGCTTTTAAACGTGGTTACCGTAGCCTAGGAAACAACCAAGAATATCAAGACTGTATACGTAACAACAGCAATAAATATGCCACCAGTAACTACTGTCGCTGCGTCTGTCACGGGACAGACCGCAACCTTATGTTCTTTAACAGTAAGCGCAGGAGATCCGCAAAACAAACCCGACAAAACAAACCTACAGACGAGACAAAGTACGCAGACATTGCACGAAATAATCAACAATGCAAGTGAATGGATCCTGGGTGCTAGTATATAGCCGTAAGTTTCCACTGCGCTGTACAGGAGAATTTTTTCGGCATTTCATTTATAACCTTCTCCTCAAAACTTGAAATTCGGCTATTCATAGAGTGGAATTTCGGTTGCAAAACCACATAAATAAGGCTATATTTGGACAACTTCCAAGTTTTCATGGATTTAGCATTCAAGTTATCTGGAAATAATTAATAGTCTGATCCCTGTTCTTAAATGTAGTTGCCTCCCTTTCCATTCGGTGAAGACAGTCATCCATATAATATTATTTAATGTACGCAAATTCGTGCTGTTAATAAATTGGATTAATCATTTACACTCTTTGGTCTGAATGGTTGTCGTTATTGGCAGACAGCATAAAATATAAATATCCCCCCAAAAGCGATAATTAAACTATGTTTACGTTCAATCGAAACCGCGTGGCTAATTTGCATAGATTTCCCGAAGGACGAATTACTTCCGCGCATGCCTAGTCATCACATAATGGCGTCGTGTGTTGTTGAGGTGTCACAGGACACATCGAATCGAAATACATAATTCATCAGAGATCTTAGTCTTATATAATACGAAAACTGTTAAAAAACTAATAACGAATTCACGATGGATGTTGACAATGATTTAGATGGAAAACTGTTACAGCAGTTCAGTTCTATGGGCACAACAGATCGGGATGTGCTGATCGCAGAGTTCCAGAAATTGCTTGGCAATCAACTGAATCCGAATAGCTGTGCATTCTTCCTGGACATGAACAATTGGTATGTGATGAAAATATGAAGAAAAATAATACTTCTGTCCGCAATGAGTCAATATATCTACGTATTTTGGATAGGCAGCGTTTATTCTAATATGGATGTGAAGTGTGTGAATCCTATGAGTTGACTACGCCATTCTTATTACGTATTATTACAAGGCCTATTGAATTGTAATCCGGGTGATGACGTGACCATGTAATTATGTGTCTCAATTATATGTTAGACAAGATATCAAGAATGATATTATTACAAGCCTAACCTGTTAGGTTATTTCCCCCCCCACCCCAGCCACCAAACCTGTACTTGTAGCTTACAAATTATATTTGTAAACAATGTGTAGGCCTACCTAGTACCTACAAGTAGTACAGTACTCTACAACCAAAAGGATATGGATATTTATTTAAAGTATAGCAGTTCAGCTTATGTATGTACTTCTACCTGTCTGCATATGAATAGAAGAAGTAGAAAATATTCTGTTTAAAATCACAGAAAAATGTCCCATACATAAATACCATCACATGCTATCTCATTTTAATCAAAAGCTGACTAGTGTATAGCACTGCAATTATTTCACTATCATTCTGTTAATTGTATGATATAGCGCTAGTATCAGTACAACATAGCCATAGGGTTACTGAAATGAAATGTTCTGCTTCAACTGGGCTAATTTAGACAGACATAAGGCATACAGTGTGCTATGATTGAATGAAATTTTGCCCAGGCAGCGGCGTTATGGCCTACTCTTATATCGACTTCCAACTGCCAAGGGATCTTTTACATGCATGTCAATGTGTACATGGGACCTCATATTTTGTCCCATCCAAACTACTAGACAGCTGTCCTTGACAGGCCCTCCGCCCTGCAACACTGACAAGGGGAAACCATATCGGAAAATCCTGATGAACTTTCTCAGCCAATGCAGGGGTCGAACACGCGATCTCCAGACTAGTGAGCCAGCGTGGCTCCCCTATAGGGTTACCAGATTACAGCAGAAACTGGGACATTTGTTATTGGAAAAAGGATTTGAGCCTGACACGAAAGTCCCGATGGGCATGACATATTGTGTGCCGAAGGCCCAAATTTTCTAGAGGGTTTGGGGTGCATGCCCCAAAGGATGCCTTTTCCCCCATTTTGTGACGGTAGTTACTCTAAAAATTTATGTTGTGGGATGGGCCAATGACAGACATTATCAGTTTGCTACATGTACATTGTATGTAATGTGTAGGAGGGCAATTGTCTTTTCGTCATACCTGTTCGTAAATTTAGCTGTGATAACCACACCTGTTTTTGTATGGTCTCTTTTTTTCTTATTTTTTTTTTTTAACAAAAGCCAAAAAGGATTCATGGTTATGTTTAACAGAAAGGCCTAAATTGATTTACAATCAGAGAACCAATCACACTATAAATAACATTTAGAAGTGGTATTATGTAGCAACCTCTGTATACATTAAACACTAGTTTATGTGTTTTTTTTGTGTTATTATTTTCAATCAACCGTATGGTAACCCTAGTAGAGTATCTAATTTTATACATACGCCCTACACAATCTGATTATAACACATATCCTATTTCGTTTCGGTTTTTTTTTATAGTTTAAAATTTTGTTTTACTTGTTTTTACTACACTAGGATCTGGAACAGTTGTTATAATTATATTACCGGTCTGGCGTTTTGGTTGAAGGGAGAGATTAGCCAGAGAAACAGTCTGTTACAGCGAGTTCTTGGCCTTTTGATGCATGGAGCTGTGGGTAAACCACTAGAAACGTCAACGCTTGTTGATTATTCAATGTCTGACGTCAAAAGCCGCTTGTTTGACCTCAGACATGAACTCCCACTGTAACTTGTCAGATCGTCATGTAGTTTAATCCATTGAAAGTTTAAAATAAACAAATGAAATATAGATCTGTATTTTAATCAGATTGAGGCAATACACTGTATTAGTTCTGAAAGCCGTGCTGGCTCATTGAGTAAGACATTGGATCACTAACTTGGTGGTCCTGTGTTCAATCCCGGCGTTGGCTGAGAAAGTTCATCAAGATTTTCTGGCATGGTACCTTCTGGTCAGTGTTGTAGGACCAACAGCCTGGCAAGAGACAATGTATTGTCTTTGGATGAGACGAAAAACCGAGGTCCGTTGTACACATTGGTGTACATGTAAAAAATCTCTTAGCAGTTGGAATTCGATATAAGAGTAGGCCGTAGCGCCGATATCCGAGCTAAATTCCTCTCGTAGCTCATTGTATGGCGTATGCCTATCTTCATTAGCCCAGATGAAGCAGAACAGTAGGAAGTTAAAACCCATTTGATTTCAGTATGAGAGCATCTGATTTTTTAACCCAAGGCTTGCTATTTATGCTGCGTGTAGTCGTGAGTGAGATCCTGTGCATGTGTGGAGAAATGAAATGAAATGAAATTGAGTTTAACGTCCTACTGTTCTGCTCCTAACCTGGGCTAATGAAGACGGGCATACGCCATACAGTGTGCTATGAGGGAAATTTTGCCCGGGCAGCAGCGCTAGAGCCTACTCTTATATTGAATTCCAACTGCCAAGGGATCTTTTACGTGCACGCCAATGTGTACACGGGACCTCGGTTTTTCGTCCCATCCGAACGACTAGACAGCTATCCTGGTCTGACCCTCCGGCCTGCATCACTGACAAGGGGAAACCACGCCTGAAAATCGGGATGAACTTTCTCGGCCAATGCAGGGATCGAACACCCGACCTCCAGGCTAGCGAGCCAGCGTCTCACCCACTTAGCCACGGACAAGGCGTAAATGACCATTGCAGGCAAACAACTTATTGAAATAAAAAAAGAATACCATGTTACTGTTAATCCAAAAATGACCAGTTCTGGGTAATAGTTGTATAAGCTTAGATTAAGCTACATGTATTATTTGTTTTTATGCCCAAATTTAGATGTTGTCGTACATTATCGTTGTCTCCATCAGGCATCCACAATTGCTTGTAACCGCTTTAGAGGCTAAAGATATTATCCGATTGACTTTAAATTTATACACAGTGTCTATAGTCATGAGACAAAAAAGCCTACAGATACATATTTTCAGGGCTCTGGGATAACTACTGCCAGAGTTATGTCCCTTGATCACTTTGATAAATCTTTTGGATGGTTTAGTTTGCAAGACAAATACATGTATATTTATTCACAAGCATACCCCCAAAATTATGTTGCATCATCCCATGTTATTATTTTTTTACAGGAACCTTCAGGCAGCTATAGGATCATATTATGACTTTGAACAGCCACCGATAACCTTACCATCAATGGCATTTGTAAAAGATGTAACCATTGGAGATGGCGAAGCTATTCCACCAAATACTAAATTTATCAAAACTTGGCGAGTTAAAAATGGAGGTAAAGTACATGTAATTTAAACATACATTATTGCAGGTATTTCTTCAGGCCTGAAATGTTATATAAATTATTAATTAGACATTTATTAACATGAAAAGACCATAATCAACTCTTGATGCCATCTTATCTGTCAGATTTTCATTGGATTTGAATCCAATCTGCTGTTCAACGTCTGTTGATGATTAAACGCAAAAATAGATTATCGAGACTTTGTTAATATTCTTGACAGCGCTAACAATGACAATCATGGCTACAGTGATTTTAAAATAAGGTTTTCTCGACTTAGAGCGTAACAATTTGACTGAAATTTTCAACATTTTCCCTTTACATTATCTAGTTTTTAACTATTATAGAGAGAGAGAGAGAGAAATGGGGTTTAACGTCCACTCGACACAAACTAGGTCATTTTGGGACTAACATCTGGTTTAATTTTATTTACATAATTTGCTTGCGCGTAGGGGACTTTAGCAGTGGGAGGAAACAGGAGGACCCGGAGAAAACCCACGAGGTTGGACAGGCGACCCTACTCCTTGCCACGTACAACCAGGGATTCAAAACCACGCCGGTCGACTCAATGACAGACTTTATGATACAGCGCGCGCACACTAACCATTCAGCCATCCAACCCCCCTATTATAGAGAGAACTGCCAGCTCTTTATCTAATCTTCCATAATGTTTCTTTAAGTTCAGGTCCCGTGTATATATTGGAATGCACGTAAAAGATCCCCTGGCAGTTGGAATTCGATATAAGAGTAGGCGATAGTGCCGCTGCCAGGGCAAAATTTCCCTCATAGCACACTGTATGGCGTATGCCCGTCTTCATTAGCCCAGTATAGGAGCAGAACAGTAGGACGTTAAACCCCATTTCATTTCATTTCATTTCATTTCTTTAAGTTCTTTGACTAAAACTTATCTGGGAACTATTGGGAACACAATGAAGTGTCAAAGATCTCATGATACAAAATGCTTTATTACATATACAGTGGACTCTTGTCACATCCGGCCTCTGAATACTACAGCATTCTGTGAAATTGATTTAATCCGTCATCATTTTCATGTCAAGATTTGTTTTCTTATTACTTCAACCCAAAAAGTTTTGAGTAATCCGTATTCTGAAATATTACGAATTACGACATCAATCAGTGTTCAGTCACACGATTTGCATTGAATTAACATTTTGTCTTTATTATTGTTCGAATTATATAGCACATTCACAACAAAACAGTTCAAAAACTTTTTTGAAATAAGTATGTTTTTTAAGTTAGTCTTAAAGATTTGGATGGAAACTTGAATGGTTTTTGGAAGATCATTCCACATTTTAGGTGCTCTGACGGAGAAAGCATATTCACCAGAACGTTTATTATATTTAGGAATCCTCAATATGCTACGATCACTTGAAGAACGAAGGTTGGATCTCCGGGGAGAATAGAAATCAAGGAGTTATTTTAAATAACTTGGTGCAGCGTCGGAATGAATTGATTTAAACACAATCACAAGAGCTTTAAATTGAACCCTTGCTTGAACTGGACGCCAGTGGAGTTTCTGTAACTTAGCTGATATATGATCAAATTTTTGTGTTCTAGTTATGAGAAGTGCAGCATTGTTTTAGTGCTATTTGTAATCTGTTTAGAGCTGTTTTTAATGTATAATTTTTAGGTTCGGACACATGGCCTCCTGGTTGTAGTTATTGTGTTGTGCTATTTGTAGTCTATTTAAAGCTGTTTTAAATGTATTATTTTTAGGTTCGGACACATGGCCACCTGGTTGTAGTTTAAGATTTAGTGGTGGTGATAATATGAGTGTAACAGATAGAGTACTAGTAGATATATTACAACCACATCAAGAAACTAATATCAGTATTGAAATGACGAGCCCTTCATCAAGTGGTGTTTATCAAGGACAATGGCGAATGAGTACACCTACTGGACACTTTTTCGGAGGTAAGACAAGAAGTGATTAAATTTGATATGAACAGTCCTGAACTAATTAACTGGTCCTGAACTATTTGATTGGACCGTAGCTAATTAATTGGTCTTGAACTAATTAACTGAGCCTTAGATAATTAACTAGTCCTGAACTAATTAACTGGTCCTGAACTATTTGATTGGACCGTAGCTAATTAATTGGTCTTGAACTAATTAACTGAGCCTTAGATAATTAACTAGTCCTGAACTAATTAACTGGTCCTGAACTAATGATTGGACGGATGATTAGGTACATGCCAGCGCATTTCCGCAGTTTTGTATTGTTTCTGAATATCCCCTACTTTTTTTGAAGAGTATATATAGGCTAATATGCTAATTTACATAATATGATTGTTTAATTTGAAAAGTAGTTCTTTGTAACCGATTGCCTTTATTTCTAAAGATATAATTAATTACACCCAGTGTGACTGTAATACAGGTGTAGAGGCTTTGTTTTAGAAAGGGGGTTGGATGGCCGAATGGTTAGCACGTACGTGTTATATCAAAAGATATGTCATTGAGTCAACTCGTCCAACCCTCGTGGGTTTTCTCCAGGTCTTCCGCTTTCCTCCCACTGCTATAGACCCTTACGCGCTAGTGAATTATTTAAATAAAATTGAACCATACTGTATGTTAGTCCCGAAATGACCAAGTTTGTATCAAGTGGACGTTAAACCCCATTTCTCTCTCTCTCAATGTTCTAGAACAGTGCCGGTTAATCTATCGTAGTGGGGGGGCCGTGGCATTTTGGGTGTATCTGTTAGGGGTAACCCACCGCACAAACTGTCTGTCAGTGGTCATTCATGATTCCTGTAGTGGTACTGAACAATGCCAAAGCTGTTTTAGGTGGTACAGATTTCAGCTATTCTAACCTAGCTGTGGTCTGGAAATTAGAAAACTCTTGTCAGGGATACTCCACCACTACAAATGTCTGGCAATTACATAGCTCTGTCCGAGTGTTTTTATACGCCCACATTTTCAATTTCATGTGGACGTATATTGTCTTTCCGTCCGTCCGTCCACAATTGTTTGTGAACAGTCTACAGGTCACAATTTTATCCGATTTCAATGAAACTTGAAATATAGGTTTATCACCCTAAGATCTCGTTTCCTTTTGATATTGGCATGTATCGTACTGTAACTTCATGGATTATGGCCCCTGATTATATGAAAAATCACGTTTTTAGCTTGTGAACACTGTAGAGGTCACAATTTTTTTCCGATTTAGTTTAAACTTGAAATGTATGATAATAACCCAAAGATCTCGGTTCCTTTCGATATTCGGGCATATCGGAACGTAACTTCCTGAATTATGGCCCCTGATTGTACGTAAAATCGCGTTTTTGCTTGTGGACCCTCTAGAGGTCATAATTTTTATCTGATTAAAAAAAAAGTACTATTATATCACCGTTAAACCCTAAGGATGGCTGAGTTCGAATTTTGTAAAAATCGGCCCAAAACTGACAGACAAAATGGCCACCGTTCATTCTCAAATAGCGTAAAAATATGGTATATCAAGGTTGTGGACCCTATAGAGGTCATAATTTTTATCTGATTTTGTTGAAACTTGAAATGTAAGTTAATAACCCAAAGATCTTGGTGCCTTTCGATATTTGCGCATATCGGACCATAACTTCCTGAATTATGGCCCCTGATTGTACGAAAAATTGCGTTTTTAGCTTGTGGACCCTATAGAGGTCATAATTTTTATCCAATTTAAAAAAACGTAAGATCTCGGTTCCTTTCGATATTTGCGCATATCGGAACCCTATAGAGGTCATAATTTTTATCCGATTTAAAAAAACGTAAGATCTCGGTTCCTTTCGATATTCGCGCATATCGGAACGTAACTTCCTGAATTATGGCCCCTGATTGTACGAAAAATCACTTTATTTTTAGCTTGTTCTCTATCCATCTCTCGAAAATGTGGGCGTATCCTGCCTGGCAGCCGCTGGTTGTAACACCTGAAGATGTACGGTACACTGCAGTAAGATTTTCGTGTGGTACACTTTCAAGCTTATCTAGCCTAGTTGGGGGCATGGCATTTTGGGCGTGGAATACCACACCAACCACCAGAAACCCGGCAAACTTACATTCTGATGATACCAGATATACATGCATTGATACCATTTAGGAGAAAATTGGTACACTTTTCACCTAGGTTAACCCCCTGGGCTCCCGCTCTATATGCCCAATCAGACATCAAGACATGGTGAATAATATTCAAAATTCCAAAATTAATATAGTGTACTGAGTGTATAACTACCACTCAACCCGATTATCATTGATAATAGGCTGGATTGATTAGGTAATTAAGTGAACGACGTATTTATTGTGTTATATCGTCTATGCACCTACATGTACCTTGATTAACTATTTAATCTGCCTTGATTGGTTGACTTAATCTGATTGGTTGACTTAATCTGCCTTGATTGGTTGACTTAATCTGCCTTGATTGGTTGACTTAATCTGCCTTGATTGGTTGACTTAATCTTTTGTCGGACAATTCATCAATCCAATCCTGAACAGAAGTCATTGCTTCTCCTTTGTCGGAGTATGTATGAATCCAATAAGAGTGATTATAAACTTAATCTTCGTGATTAACCTGTGATTTCTCCATTGACGATACTTTTACAAATGTATTGTAGAAATAATCTGGGTGATAATTAATGTTGAAGAAGGTGGAATCCTCGCTGTCACACAACAGATGTCAAGAGTTGGAGAAGATTTTGTAGAGACGGGACGACTAGCCACATCCCCAAACCCTTTTGCTACACCTGAAAAATCATCTGAAGATTTACACAATGTTTCCATTATTGGACAAACAAGTCTACCTTCCAGTCCGTCAAACTCTAATGATGCAGCTAGATGGCTTATATTCGCAGTAAGTGAAACAATTTACGATATTTTTGAAATACTAATCCACCCCCAATCTGATTAAAATACAGATCTATATTTCGTTTTGTTTTTTTATTCTTTCGATGGCCTACACTACATGAAGATCTGACAAGTTGTACTATAAGGTCGTGTCAGGGGTCGTACGAGCGTCTTTAGACCCTGTGACATCAGACATTGATTAATCAATCAGCATTGACGTTTCTAGTGGTTTACCCACAGTTCTGTGCATGGTACGCCAAGAAGTCGCCATAACAGACCGTTTCGTTGGCTTATCCCTCACTTCAACCAAAATGCCTTTATATAACAACTCTTCCATATCCTAGTGTAGTACAGACAAGTAAATTGAAATTTTGAACTATTAAAAACAAAACAAAATAGGAGCTGTGTTTTAATTAAACTAATCCACCCCTGGAAGTTTTTTATCCATGTACATGTACATGTATGTGTCTTTGTGTATTTACAGCCCCTTGTTAGTGGTGCAGGATAGAGGGCTGTTTAGATGGGATAAAAATTGAGGTTCTGTGTACACATTGGCGTGCACTTAAAAGAGGCCTTGACAGTTGAGAATAGATATAAAAGTAGGCCATAGATAGGCAATATTTCCCTAAAATCATACTGTATGGTATATGTACGTCTTCATTAGCTTAGTCGGAGCCGTTTATTTCATTTCTGTATTATCAGACCTTATCTTAAAGATACTTTCCGACAAAAGTATTTATCATGTGGTTATTTCCAATCAAAGTATGGCAATTTTGGTATATATGGAAAGTATAAACATCCCATCTTATTAAATAAATACTTTATTCCTTTAAAAACACAGATGGAGCGCATACTGGACAAGAATGATAGAGTGTCACTAATTGAGTGATGTCAAAGGTTGCACGCGTAGATTGTAGTGTTGAAACTACTATTCGGATATCCGTTAACGGATACAAAATAAGGGTTATCCGAATCATTTTACTATCCGTTACAGTCTTCTGACATTCCGTATGCTCTATATTTAGCCATTTTTACATCTGATTACTTCGAAATTTTCCCCAATGCTATTGATCACGTACGCAGCTTTGAGCATAAATGTTAATATCACGCGTATTATTTAGCGATAGTAACTAATAAAAATATTAATGCAGTGCAACGAAAAACCGTAGTCTAAATAAAAAAATATTCATTCATTCCTCGCGCTGGTTTACGCTAGATAGAAGCTGCGTCTTGGGTTTACGGGATACAAGTTAACACTGTGTTTAGACTTCCCACAATGAAATTTATTCATAACGACCTAGGTCACGTATGTTCTCACTTACTGATTGGTTCAATAGCGGTAGATTATCAGAATGAGGCAAACGACCTTGGCGGAATAAATGTTAGATGTTTTTATTTTACTTTTTTCATTCGTGTTGATTGAGCAAAAATGATAAGTGGGAGGGCCGCAGATTACAGGAGTAGTTATACACAAATTTATTCACCTCGTTGATTTTTTTGGATATCATGGATTGTCTTAATAATTGCGGATAAAGGTAGGCAGGTTTTTTTCTTCGCGGCTCAAACAATTTGCAAATCGAAAGTAAGATTTCATACTTGGCATCCACAGACATTCATAAACAGTGAAATAAGTAAGAAATTATGAGTATATGAACTTTTGATGTGATTTTGTTCAAGAATTTCACGTTGCCGAATTATCCGACGAATAGTATTCAGATAGCAAACAAAAGTATTCGGATCACAAATCTCGATCCGATTTTCAACACCAGTAGATTGTCTGTCTGAGCCCATGGTGTATATGTGGATAAACTTGATGGTGAACGAACGTTGAAAAAGTGAGAGACTTTAACGTACACCAGTTTCCGAGATAAAAAACACAGAAAAAGACGTGGGCGCTTCGATATTTATGATAAATAGTCAGCGATTAAAGACAACATCGTCTATTATATGCAATGAATTCTCCTCTGGCTTCGCACCCGTTGCTAGGTTCTGCGACAACCAAGTCATGTGACACAAGCATGAATTTTTTTTAATAGATTTTTTATAGCTTGTTGTAATTCCTCACAAATACAATGTTTTGAGAGGGATTTGAAGAAAATTTTTGATGGATTGCTTAGTTTGAATATGTACATGTATTTAGTCCAAATATATCATCAAATCACCCAGTTTATATGCGGGAAGGTATCTTTAAAGGGCATGTCTAATGAGAAACGTCCGTGTAATTTTCAGTTTCTGACCTATAAGTAGGGTGACCCGTGCACTCTACAGAAAGTTTGTCTCGACACGGCTAAATGTGCACGCTTCAGTTGCTTGTCTCGTACTGATTTCTGACTAACCCGCATTCTCTTTGAGTCGATAAATAGCCATGGCACGTGCAATTCTCTACAAATATATCAACTATTACAGCCGTAATAAATCTGCTGTTGACGATTTTGAATAGCAGTAAAATTTAGCTTCTTGGTTATTACAGCAGCTTTAGAAATTACGTTTGTTTTATTTTTTAAATTGCTTTATCATTAACTGTACCGTTAAGAGCGGCATCTTTTGGTTTAGTACAAATACTATCTCTGAATCACTTTCGTTAGCAGGAACATGATACTAGCAGTAGTTTTATTTTACTTTTACAAGTTTCTTAAAACAATTGTTGAGTTGTCTAAAGTGCTTATTTCTAAATTCAATTTCTTTTTCTAGCTTTTTGTTATGTTTCGTAGAAAAGTAGTCTTGATTATCCCGACCTGTCAATCAGACGTAGAATGGTCGATAGACTGGTTAAGCGAGACTAATTTCAAAACAAGGGCACGTAACCTATCTTTTACTCAAAAGTGTCTGGATGTTATGGACGACACTTGGAACCAGTTTTCAGTCTATTATTTATAGATGATTAATGGTCATAGCTTATTAAGTACAACATGATCGTTTATTTAGTGACTATAATTGTGTGAAACTGATTTGAGGCTTGGCATATATATAAATATTGTGGCGTAATTGTCGAGATATTTGGAGATATTTATTTATGGTGGATCACCCTACTATAAGACAAAATTAATTTTTTTTACACAATTTCTGTTTTTCAGAATAGTTATGAAGCTTCACATCAGTCTGAACATTCCCAAGATACAGAGATGTCCTAGCAGTAGTTAATACACCTTACTTGTTTGTTTTTTTATTTGTTATGATGATGATGTGGTTTTTAATTTGTAAACCAGATACTTCTCACTACTGGTACTAATCCCGGGCCCAGATCTATTACACCCCTACTTCTCACTACTGGTACTAATCCCGGGCCCAGATCTAATACACCCCTACTTCTCACTACTGGTACTAATCCCGGGCCAAATTCTCACTACTGGTACTAATCCCGGGCCCAGATCTAATACACCCCTACTTCTCACTACTGGTACTAATCCCGGGCCCAGATCTAACACACCCCTACTTCTCACTACTGGTACTAATCCTGGGCCAAATTCTCACTACTGGTACTAATCCCGGGCCCAGATCTAATACACCCCTACTTCTCACTACTGGTACTAATCCCGGGCCAAATTCTCACTACTGGTACTAATCCCGGTCCAATCCTCAGATAGATACACCCCTACATGTATGATAGAATACATGGTTTCAATCAGATTAAAAACAGGCCCATCAATTTGGTTCACAGCAAATAAAGATAATGGCTTTCTTGTTAAATAGGGAGCAGCACGCATGTAGATCGATGGGAATTTCAATTATTTCATATTTTTTTAAATACTGAACAGAACTGAACCAGTTTTGGACTGATATTCCTATTAGAGATTCTTCAACTTCCACAACATTGTAGTTCACGAGGGATTCTGTAGCCCTAAAATCCCACTCGGGGTCTTTAAATCTGTTTTGGACTGACACTCCAATTAGAGATTCTTCAACTTTCACAATATTGTAGTTTGCAAGGGTTTTGGAGGAATTTGCTTTACTGGTTACCATGGGAATTACCGGTAGCCTTATTTTGGCTATTGGGAAAATTTCATGTTGATGGAACTATTTAGAAATGAGTTATTTTAAAATTCATATTGTCGAGCAGTGTCTTTCTTCACGTCAACATACAGTCGACTTTAGTACCAGTGTTGAGAAGTGTGGTGGTTTATAATGAAGGATGAATTTACACATTGTTTATTTAAAAAAAAATAAATACATTATTGACTGTTGATTATACCATTACCTCCTTATCTGGTTTCTGTAAATATTCATCATTATTTCATAGTTATATCCCGCGAAATCTATTTGTTAAGGCCAGCTCAATTTTAGTCAAGGTTGCTGAGATGTAAATAATGTTAGGGTACCTGATATTGGGCAAGATTGTAAGTAAGGATAAGCATTGGAGTTAGGGTTATGGTTAGGATTAGTGCTAGCCCTGTTTACATCTCGTGCCCTACGACGAAAAATTGAGCTGGCCTTATCATTTAGCACTAACCAGTTATATCGATCATCTGAAAATTTTATTCATCTTAGGCTGTAAAATATATCTTGTGTAAAAACTAGTAGGTACATTTTAAGATATAAAATTATTGGTTGTACAATAGTTAGTTACATTGTCCTATTATTAGTGCATGGATTCTCTAAATCAGCCCAGATAGGCCTAACTTGTATTGATAGGCCTAACTTGTATCAATAGGCTTAACTTATTTTGATAGGCCTAACTTGTATTGATAGGTCTAACTTGTTTGGATAGGCCTAACTTATATTGATGGGTCTAACCTGTATTGATAGGCTTAACTTGTATTGATAGGCTTAACTTATTTCGATATGCCTAACTTGTATTGATAGACCTAACTTACGTGTATTGATAGGCGTAACTCGTATTGATAGGCCTTTGTAAACAAATCGATTTAAGATTGTCAACTTGCCTTGTTTTTACTTGTGTTATAACAATATGGCAACCTACAGTTATTGCTCATAAACTAGATAGTTGTATTTTATAATTTTATCGGTGGTTTTAACCCGTTAACTGCGTAGGGTGTTATACAACGCCCTGGAGGTATTTCCCCCAACCTATTCTTCGAACATGATCGCAGCATGACTGTAGGACGTTATATTACGCCTGGTCGAGGAAATCTAATTGAAGGGAAACAACTATAATTACCGTTAGTTTTAATATGGTTTAAGACTACTAAAATTTGTATTCAGGAATGAAAAGGTCCAAAAAATGACGTTTTTCGTCAAATTAATTACACAATAGGGGGTAGTTAACATTTTAAAAACTACGCAGTTAAGGGGTTAAACAATAGTAGCATGTCCAAACTAGACATCACCTCGGGGTCATGGCTTCTTTTACTGTGTTAAAAGACATCAGCACTTGATGATAGCACTGCGTCACAGTACATTAACACCTAAGCCTAACCTGTGTGGGAGGTTGCATGGCTGAATGGTTAGCGCGTGCGTGTTTCATCATAAGGTCTGTCGTTGAGTCACCTGGCATGATTTCGATTCCCCGGTTGTATGTGACAAGGAGTAGGGTCGCCTGTTCAACCTCGTGGGTTTTCTCTGGGTCCTCCGGTTTCCTCTCACTGCTGAAGATCCCCTACACGCAAGCGAATTATTGAAATGATCTAGTTTGTGTGGAGTGGACTCTGACAGGGATGTTTTGATATATTGTGAGGACTGATGTTAGAATTATCAGTCAGCAGTATGTACTATGACGCGGTATCATTGAGTAATGACCATTAAAAGTTGTCTTTCCTTGTCCTCAGTGTAGAACAGTTCAATGAAATAAAATGAGATTTATCGTCCTACCGACTAGCCATTCATTATACAATCTGATTAAAGTACAGATCTATATTCTGTTTCGTTTTTTTATACTTTCAATGGCCTACACTACATGAAGATCTGACAAGTGTTAGTGGGAGTTCACGTCAGGGGTCAAACAAATGGCTTTTGACCTTATGACGTCAGAGATTGATTAATCAATCGGCGTTGACGTTTCTAGTGGTTTACCCACAGTTCCGTGCCTCAAAAGGCCAAGAACTTGCCGTAACAGACCGTTTCATTGGCTAATCTCCCACATCATCCAGAACACGTCAATGATAACAACTCTTCCAGATCCTAGTGTAGTGAAGACAAGTAAAACGATATTTTGAACTATAAAAACGAAACAAAATAGGATCTGTGTTATAATCAGATTGTTGATTTATATAATAACCTGGTTAAAGTAAATTTAGGTGTCAAGTATGAGTATGAAGATGAGAATTACTGAATGATTATTTATTTGATTTTTATTATATATCTATTGAGAGATTGCCTGTTTTAGTAATTGAATTGGAACAACAGTGTAGAGAGACAGGGTATTGTGGTAATTGTATCACATTTGTGTTGCACAACTGTATTTTTCTCTTAGTCAAATAACAAAAACAACTCATAGATATATTACTTTAAAGTTTAAAGATATATTACTTTAAAGTTTAAAGATATATTACTTTAAAGTTTAAAGATATAATACTTTTATAGTTTAAAGATATATTACTTTAAAGTTTAAAGATATATTACTATAAAGATGTATTACTTTAAGCTTAAAAAGATATTTTACTTTACATTTTAAAGCTATTTTACTTTACATTTTAAAGCTATATTACTTTAAGGTTAAAGCTATATTACTTTAAGGTTAAAGCTATATTACTTTAAGGTTAAAGCTATATTACTTTAAAGTTTAAGATATATTACTTTAAAGATTAAGATATATTACTTTAAAGTTCAAAGATATAATACAGTGGACTCTGTCACTTCTGACATCTGAATACTACAGCATTCTGTGAAATCCGTCTTCATTTTCATGTCTCGATTTATTTCCTTATTACGTCAAAAAAAAATGTTTTGAGTAATCCGGATTCTGAATATTCCGAATTACGACATCAATCAGAGGTCTCGTCACACGATTTGCTTCCAATTAACATTGGATAATCCGACCTTCAATCAGTGGGTGTTAACTGACCAGCAATCACCAATCAATTATCTGTCGGCATAAATCATGTGTCTGTCTTTGTTGATTACCTTGATAATTTTATAATCTCTTGGTATAAGTAGGCCTATTCAATTGGCCGTACTACAGTTTCCGACATTTTAAAGCAAATAGATGAATTCAAAAAGTGGTTTAAGGGCGTGGACAAACACAACCTGTCAGTCAATTGGTCGGCCAATCGTAAGGTTTGGATGACAAGTGCTATTTAGTCAAGTTTAGATATTATATATATTCAAAGTAAATTAATTGTTATTCGAGGGTGCATTTTTATAAAACGTAAATTATTCGAAGGTACAATTATACTTCCAACATAATTGAGGCAATTTAGTATTCCGATATGCTGTGTAATCTGGCGATATGCTGTGTAATCTGGCGTATTGTATCGATCCCGTGCGATGTCGGAATTGACCGAATCCACTGTACTTTAAAACTAAGATATTATTACTATACTACTCATGACTAGTAGTACATTAACCAAATTTAATTTCTTGGCATCTAATGTACAAAGGAGGTGGAGGGGCGGATTAAATTTCTAATTTGTTGCTGTTGTGCTGACGAAGAATATTTATAGATCTCTCAGTGAAGAACTGTTTTAAAGACAGGTTTTTTTTAACATTAAATGTTTTTGTCTGTTCACTTTACAACAGATATAAATTTACCCATTTCAAACAAATGGGCATTGAATATGGAATAGACTATTTTTTTATATACTGCCTAGATTACACATTATATTTTAGTTCTAGTTCTAATTACTTATACTAACACCTAAGGGCTGTTCCATTTAACACCCCCCACAATCTTGTCAACAATCACATCCCCTAACCCTGTTTACATCTCGTGACCTTGACAAAATCTGCAGGTGTCCTTAATATTTAGACATGACCGGTCCCTATAGTACTTTCATACTTATTAATTACTAGCAGGATACCCGGCTTCACTCGGGGGTCATAACTCCGAAACCGGAAGTGGTAGACTAACGCCACCTGGCCTATGTTACTCCCCGGTCCGAGCTACCCCTATACCCCAAATTTCAGACTCGGGGCAGACCTAGTGTAGCCACCAACCCCAAACAGACAGACAGACAAACGACAGTCACAAATATATATATATAGATCAGAGATCCACTTATTGATTGTTAGGTTACTAAAAAAAAAAAACCTCATCACATATCGTTTTATTGTTAACAATTATTTCATAGTTGATTTTGTATTGGATTTTTTATAATGAATTGTGTTGTGTAATGAAATGAATTCATTATATTTGACTTGTGTATATTTGTATTCATGAATTCCATGGTGATTTTCTATCAATGTTTTTATTTTAATTTTAATTTTCAAATTTATCTCAAAAAACCTCATTTGCTCTTGTTCTGTATAGTGGATGATAATTTCCTAGAGCAGCCAAAAATAATCAGGTATGTGGTATGCTAGTTATTTTATCATCATCAGAGTTAGTTTTCTCTTCTGTATCTAATCAGAATGCAACAGGGTGGGGACGCAGGAATGAGTGAAAAATAACGAGGTGCACCTATTTTTTATTACGTATAAATTTGAATATATTGTTTACACGTGATTCTTAATTTTGGTTTGAAAACACCTGCTTAAAGAACGATAAGAGTTATGTCCCTTTATTTTCGGGGAAAAATGTCCGACAAGAAAATTTTTTAAATCCCATCATTGTCTTAATATCTGCTATTGTTAATAATAAATATAACTAAATAAAATAATGACGGATCTGTTAAATGGCCCTTTTGTCCTTGAGTTTTGATTTTCATGGGCGTTATAAGTCAACATTAGGAAATATGCCCTATTTTTAACACGATCAGAGCAAATGATATACACTCAAGTTTTTCAATTGTGATGAGGTTTAAAGGAATAAAATATTGGATTGTTAGATTTGTGTATATTTTTTCCACATAGGTTAAATACTGATTATAAATTTCTATGGTAATTTCATAAAAACTGATTATAAATTTCTATGGTAATTTCATAAATACTAAGTATAACTTTCTATGGTAATGTTATAAATTACCACACTACTATTATTTCCATAGGCACTTGTAAAATAGAAAATTTCTTTCAAGAATAAATGCTGTTTAACCAACAAATTTTTTACTTGCTGGTTCTTTAGGATTGTTTCTAGAGGAGAATGCCTGTTCTTTAGGACCGTTGCTAGAGGAGAATGCCTGTTCTTTAGGACCGTTGCTAGAGAAGAATGCCTGTTCTTTAGGACCGTTGCTAGAGGAGAATGCCTGTTCTTTAGGACCGTTGCTATAGGAGATATGCTGGTTCTTTAGGACCGTTGCTAGAGGAGAAATGCCTGTTCTTTAGGACCGTTGCTAGAGGAGAAATGCCTGTTCTTTAGGACCGTTGCTATAGGAGAACTGCCTGTTCTGTAGGACTGTTGCTAGAGGAGAACTGCCTGTTCTTTAGGACCGTTGCTATAGGAGAACTGCCTGTTCTGTAAGAACTGTTGCTGTAGGAGAAATGTCTTCTGTGGGACAGTTGCTGTAGAACCATTGCCACAGCAGAAATTTAAAGACTAAGTGACACAGTATAATATCCTTGTTTTCCCCCTTTAGCAGGGGCGTTGGATGGCCGTATGGTATAATGTGTGCGCATCAGATCATAAGGTCTGTCATCGAATCCAGCAGCATGGTTTTAATTCCTGTCCAACTTTGTTGGTTTTCACCAGGTCCTTACGGTTTTCCCCCACAGCTAAAGACCCATACACGCACACGTAATGTTATTTTTGAAAGAGATTTTTCATTTTACAAGTGCCTGTGATTTTTTCCAGACCGAAAAACTATACAAATTTTATTTTTATTTTGTGTAGATGATATAATTGATATTTTAGCTTTAATCTTTTTTTATTAATGTTACATTAAACCTCCAATCTCTACAACATAACAATCAAAGAATATTTATGGAAAATGTTAAAGATGCATTCCCACAAAGTTATTTGTAGGGTAATTTGTATGTAGGAAGGCATCTGTTTTTCATGCAATCTGATTAAAATACAGATCTATATTTCGTTTCGTTTTTGTATCTTGATGGCCTACTCTACATGAAAATCTGACCGGTTGTACTGGAAGGTCATACGAGCGGCTTTTGACCCTATGACGTCAGACATTCGATTAACCAATCAGCGTTGATGTTTCTAGTGGATTACCCACAGTTACGTGCACCTCACACCAAAAACTCGCTGTAACAGACCGTTTCATTGGCTAATCCCTCACATCAACCATAACGCAGGTTATATAACAATTCTTCCAGATCCTAGTGTAATAAAGACAAGTAAAACGAAATTTTGAACTATAAAAAAAGAAACTAAATAGGATCTGTGTTTTAATCAGATTGGCAGTCGCTTTATTTTATTTTCTGGCATAAAAATTAGATGTCAGTTAACCCTTGAACCACCCGAAACATTCTCAAATATTTGCTGGGGAAATAACATTTATTTTGCACCAAAGATTTTGTTTGAGGACATGTAACATCTAAAGGTTGTTGTAGAGATTAAATCTATTCCTATTTAAATGATATATATATATGTATATGCTGTACAGGATATATAAATAAGATAATGCATGAATGTGTGTTATAAATTGTATGAAAGAAAACCAATTAAATCCATGCTAGAATTAATTTTTGTTCTTTTTCCTTTTGTTTGTTTTAATTTTTTACTTTTACATTGGTGGAAATGCTGCTTGTCCAGTCAAAACTTTACCATTCAGATATAGATGTAAGTTGCTTGTCTACTGAAAACTTTACCCTTCAAATTGCACATGTAACGATAGATATAGGTGAAAGCTGCTTGTCTAGTGAAAACTTTACCCTTCAAATTACACATGTAACTACAGATATGAAAGTGATCATAAGCTAGTCTCCAAATGACTGAAGTGATGTGTTGATAAAACTCTAAATTCCATTCTATTTATGTTATGGGGTGGAAGGCCGTAGGCTTAGCATAAGGTCTGTCATTGAGTCAACTGGCATGGTTTCGAATCCCCGGTTGTACCTGACAAAGAATATGGTCGCCTGTCCAACCTTGTGGGTTTTCTCCGGGTCCACCAATTCTAAAGCCCCCTACGTGCAAGCAAATCAGGGCTTGCCACGAGACGCGAGCAACTGCTCGCGCTCGCACTGTGCTCGCGTAAATCTACATTTACGCGAGCGGTTCGTTGCTCGCGCAAAATTTTAAGAAAACCCTGTAAAAATAATCAAAATATTGACAAGTTTATTGCCGAAACTAACCCAACAATGTCAATAACGTCATAAATTCGTCTGTCAAACTGAGATTCACCCAGCTGCACGCGACATTTCCTCCTGAAATTTGATTGGCTAATAAAGTTACTCGCAACTTGTGTTACTAAAAATACACTTTAGACCTGAACGTCATGACTGGTTTTCCTACGAACACCAGTAACAAACACGTGATAATCGAGTCTAAAGTAAAGAATGTTTACATCCGGCATTTGGCATTCACGCTAAATGAACACGTTTCAAACTAATATTTATCGGTATTTCCTGTTTTATCAGAACTTCGGTTTTTATTCCATTGTTCCATTGTGCAGTCGTATAATTTTCAATCTAAGCGTAATAATGGCCAAAGTGCTTTGGCGCAACCTGATTGCCCTATCCACATTTATTTCGTGGGGTGAAGAAATCCATACGGAAATTGGTTTTAATAAAGAAGAGTACGTATGACTGTCAAAAACAGAAAGCGATGGTCACACATGTTTACTGCAAACTTTGTGCCAGGAATAGCAATTTTCTTATGATTTTAAATTGAAACAATGTTACAAAATGTGTGCTTACGCAAACAACATTTTGCGTGAGCAATTTTTATTGCTCGCCTTGCTCGCCCAAACCTAAATTTGCGTGAGCAGTCATCTGCTCGCCATCAATTTATTCGTGGCCAGCCCTGCAAATTATTGAAATAAAATTGAACCATTTATATTTATGACTTAAGTTCTTTTTATACAGGTCTATGGAATACAACTACTGTTTATTACTGAACAACATTTCAACTACGCTTCTCTAGTCATTATCTCGAGACAGAGAGAAATGGGGTTTAACGCCTACCCAACACAAACCAGGCCATTTCAAGGTTCAATTTTATATCAATAATTCGCTTACGCGTAGGTTTTTTAGTAGTGGGAGGAAGCCAGAGAAAACACACAAGAACCTACTCCTTGTCACGTACAACCCTGGAATCGAAACCACACCAGTTGACTTAACGACAAGACCTTATACAGCACACATGTGCTAACCATTCGGCCATCCCCGCCAAGTCATTATCAAGTTCTCTTTCTGGATATGAACCTGCTTTTGTTGATAAAAGTGTTTAGACATCTGCTTTTGTTGTTGTCACCAGTGCTCACACATCTGCTTGTGTTGTTGTCACCAGTGCTCACGCATCTGCTTTTGTTGTTGTTAACAGTGCTCACGCATCTGCTTTTGTTTCTATGGTTTTGAAAATAAATGTCATGGGGGAAAAAGATTTAACCTTGTATATTTCTGCTGTGACTGAGCTAAAGTCAAAAATTATTTTACGTGCACGCCAATATGTCACCAGGGCCTTGATTTTCCGTACCATCCTGACGACTACACACCTTTTTGAACTGAGGGAGAGAGAGAAATGGAGTTTAACGTCCACTCGACACAGACTAGGTCATTTTGAGACTAACATATGGTTTTCTTTTATTTCAAAAAATCGCTTGCACAACGTGCGCATTTTAACCATTCACCTCCCACCCCATGCTGGAAAATTCTGAGGAACTTCCTCGGCAAATACTGGGATCAAACTCTAGACCTCCTAGTGAATGAGCCAGCACCTATATCACTTAGCCACAGTGGCTCAATGTGGCCATGTGTTTTTGACAAGGTTTTTCAAGAACGCGGGGTTATAAAAACCAAACAATGTGTATTTTATATATAAAAATAAAATTTAATGTCGTCATTATATTGCAATATCAAACAGCCATATCCATTTGAATCTTAGGATAAGGATCATAACCATTCAGTTTGATGTCCTCCATTGTAAATTTATCTATATTTGTAACACCATCTTGTAACGAGAGGGTAGGGAAGGGTCGAGGCGTTCTCTTCAACTGAAAAAAAAAAAAGCTACATGTATAAAACACCTCATTATCATGGACCAATCAGCTGGGGGAAGGCCTAATTATGGACCCAATATTTCTAACAATTTATGGGCAAATGCCTAATATTTACAGCAATCTGTGGGACGAAGGCCTAATTATAGACCTAATATTTATAACCATTTGCAGGGGAAGGCCTAATATTTATAGCAATCTGTAGGATAATTTGGGAAGGTCTAACTATGGAACACATATTTGCCGCTATCTTTGAATGTAAAGCAGAACTAATTTGATCTCGATGTTAGTACACTAGATATTTGAGACAAAACTAGGTATGTACCAGACAGGTTAAAGCGGGGCTTCCAAAGGTTAAGAATTCTCGTAGAATGCCATAGATTCGAGAGAGAGAGAGAGAGAGAGAGAGAGATGGGGTTTAACGTCCACTCGACACAAACTAGGTCATTTCGGGACTAACATATGGTTTAATTTTATTTCAATAATTCGCTTGCGGGTAGGGGTCTTTAGCAGTGGGAGGAAAGCGGAGGACCCGGAGAAAACCCATGAGGTGGACAGACGCCCCTACTCCTTGTCACGTACAACCGGGGATTCGAAACCACGCCAGTTGACTCAATGACAGCCTTTATGATACAGCGCGCACGTGCTAACCATTCAGCCATCCAACCCCACCATAGATTCGAATCTAGGTGTGGGCCAAAAAGAACCATTGCATTATTGGAAGTGGGCCTTCTGTTTCATAGGAAAGTGTGCCTAGTGATCAGAACTGCGTGCAAAACTGTAGTCTCTATCACCAAGAACCTCTTAGTCTTCAACGTAAGGAGGGTCTGGGGCCATTGTCAATATTGGTCGAAAAGTTCCATTGCCCATGGGTAAGCAGGAGTTTGTTTTTTTTATGTGGTTGATTATCCAGTATCTTTGGCCAAGTCAAGTAAGAGTTGCACCCCTTCCCAAATTAAATTGCATCCCTTCCCATAATTCTTGCATTATTATAAACAAACATGAATCGTGACAACGAATTAGGATTAATTAAAAAAACATAGATATGGTCCATGAGGAAACCCAATGTTAAACCCTATAATATTGTAATCTAATTATATAAAGTTAAAGTTGTACCTGTTCTAGTAACGGATCAATATGATTGACATAAACATGGGCATCACCGATAGTATGTACAAAATCTCCAGGCTGTAATATATAAGTATTATAAATATAAGTATCAGAGAGAGAGATGGGGTTTAACATCCACTTGACACAAACTAGGTCATTTCGGGACTAACATATTCAATTTTATTTCAATAACTCCCTTGTGTGTAGGGGTCTTTAGCAGTGGGAGGAAAGCGCAGGACCAGGAGAAAACCCACAAGGTTGGACAGGTGACCCTACTCCTTGTCACGTACAACCGGGGAATCCTAACCTCGCCAGCTGACTCAATGACAGACCTTATGATACAGCTCGCACGCGCTAACAATCGGCCATCCAAACCCCCATAAGTATCGGCAATGATGTTGGAATGAAGTTTAATAAGATTCACTCTTAAACTCTCCTTAATCTAAAAAAAAAACTCCAAAACCAACAGACTCATGAATAGGTTATTTCAATATGAGAGAGAGAAATGGCAGAAACTAGGTAGGGATCGTTAGCAGCGGGAGGAAAACAACGAGGTTGGACAGACGACCCTTGATTCAATGACAGACCTTATGAGCTAAAGTGCATGCATTAGACTTCATTAGACCAAGATGAATAGTGATTGTGTTCCAAATCAAAAATGTGAGTTACCTACCTTTAATTGAGTGACATGTGCTATCATACAGGTCAACAAGGAATAACTGGCAATATTAAACGGAACACCCAAACCCTGTAAATAAATTAAATAATATCTAATTTCCAAAATAAGAGAGAGGGATAGAGGGACAGAGAGTAATGGGGTTTAACTCCACTCACACAAACTAGGTCATTTCGAGACTAACATATGGTTCAATTTTATTTCAATAATTCGCTTGTGCGGCGTAGGAAACCGGAGGACCTGGTGAAAACCCACTAGGTGCACAGGCAACCCTACTCCTTATCACGTACAACCAGTGAATCGAAACGCCAGTTGACTCAATGGCAGACCTTATGATACAACGCGCACACGCTAACCATTCGGCCATCCAGCCCCGATTGTGAGACAAATTTGAGAAAGGTTGATACCTTTGAAACTATATCTTGCCTGATGGTAGACAAAAATGCGAATTTTACATTTTGGGCACTTGAAAGACACAAACTGTCCTTGAACCCCTGGAAGTGCTACAAAATTGTGACACAAGACACTTTGTGACTAAATTGCGAAAGAGTATTTTATGTTCAATTGCCACGCATAACTGTCACAAATACAAAATATTCTCAATTTTTTTGCTCGTTTTTCACATGACTAGCATACTTAATTAAGATAAATATTGGTCCAAATTTTGTCAGAAATTCATGCAGCATATGCAAATTCAGTGTGATTTCATACAAAAACTTGCTAATTCACATATTTTCTCAAAAATCTGTGTCTCTCAATTAGTTGTAAACTGTCACTGTCCAGCGAGATATTAGCTTTAACGTCCTACTTTTCTGCACCGACTGGGCTAATGAAGGAAAACGGGCATATGCCATACAGTGTGCTATGAGGGAAAATTGGGGATACAGCTGAGAAGACATAAGATTTTGCTCTGCGTGCACTACTTTATTAACGGTAATAATTATGATATACATGTATGGTATTATCAATCTGATTAAAACACAGATCCTATTTCGTTTGTTTTTTTATAGTTCAAATTACATTTTACTTGTCTTTAGTACACTTGATGTGAGGGATTAGCCAATGAAATGGCCTGTAAGGGCCACTTTTTGGCATTGAGGTGTACAGAACTGTGGGTATCCTACAGGACACATCAATGCTGATTGATTAATCAATGTCTGACATCACAGAGTCAAAAGCCGCTCGCATGAACCCCCGATGTGATCTTCCACTACAACCAGTCAGATCTTCATGTAGTAGAGCCCATCAAAAGTTTAAATAAAAAAAATGAAACGAAATATCAGATTGGCAGTATTATTTAATATATTAGAGAGACAGTATACTTACCATGTCCGCTGAACGTTGATATAACTGACATGACAGTTCATCACCAGCAACATAAAACTGTACCAGACAATGGCATGGTGGTAATGCCATCTTTCCTAAATCTAAACACAAACAAATAATACATGGTTTATTTTAAATAAATTTCAACAAAATAACTTATTCTATTTTTTCAAGACTTTAACTGTTGGTACGGTAACCAAATTTCCAAAAGTCAGCCAACATTAAGACAAATGTTTTAATGGCTACATCGCAACGTTTGATTCCACCTATCGCTGTAAAATTATGTCATTTCGGGATTAACATCTGGTTCAACTTTATTTCAATAATTCACTTACACATACATGTGTCTTCAGCTGTGGGAGGAAACCGGAGTACCCGGAGAAAACCCACGAGGTTGAAACCACGCCAGTCGACTCAATGACAGACTTTATGGTCTAAGGCGCATGTGTTAAAACATTCTGCCATTTAACACCTGTTAATAGTTCTTATCACTGTCCTCATGCAATCAAAGACACACAACAATTTTGTGGCAATCAAAGAGAGAGAGAGAGAGATGGGGTTTTATTTCAATAATTCGCTCGCGCGTAGGGGTCTTTATCAGTAGATGGTAACTGGTGGACCCAGAGAAAACCCACGAGGTTGGACAAGCGACCCTACTTGTCATGTACAACCTACAACCGGGGAATCAAAACCATGCCAGTTGACTCAAAGTCAGACCTTATGATACAACGCTCTCAAGCCCCCCCCCCCCTCCCTACAGCGCCATCCATCTATACAATCAAGGACGAACAACACTATAGTAGTCAAACTAAAATATGTTACAATGTGAAACAAACCTTGTGGATTCCATGCTGACATAATGATACGTCTATCTTCAGGAGTATTTTTTATTTTATTTATGACATCTTGTAACTGATCAACACCCTGTCCACTATAGTCACTGTTCATATCTTTATATTCAGCTCCAAAATGACGCCATTGAAACCCATAAACTGGACCTAAATCACCTGAAGACATTAGAAATAACAAGACTTGGTTAAAACACATGTAAATACATGTATAACACGAGCAGGATGAGAGAGAGAGAGAGAGAGAGAGAGAGAGAGCTGTTCAGCTCCAAAATAACGCCATTGAAACCCATAAACTGGACCTAAATCACCTGAAGACATTAGAAATAACAAGACTTGGTTAAAACACATGTAAATACATGTATAACACGAGCAGGATGAGAGAGAGAGAGAGAGAGAGAGAGAGAGAGAGAGAGAGAAATGGGGTTTAACGTCCACTCAACTCAAACTATGTGATTTCGGGACTAAAATATGGTTTAATTTTATTTCAATAATTCGCTTGCGTGTAGGGGGTCTTTAGCAGTGGGAGGAAACCGGAGGACCTGGCGAAAACCCACGAGGTTGGACAGGCGACCCTACTCTTTGTCAAGTACAACCGGGGAATCAAAACCACGCCAGTTGACTCAATGACAGGCCTTATGATACAGCGCGCACGTGCTAACCATTCGACCATCCACCCCCCCCCCCAGAAGCAGGATGATCACACATTATAAACACAATACCATAATGATAGTGCATGATTCTTCATCGCAGCAATGAAAAATCAAGTGTTCTCTTAGAGAGATTATAAAATTATAAAGGTAATCAACACGTGTTTTAAGCTCATCGATCCATAATTGATTGGTGATTGCTTGTAGGTTAACACTCACTGATTGAAGGTCGGATTATCCAAAGTTAATTCAATGAAAATCATGTGACAGGATCGCTGATTGATGTTGTAATTGATTGGTGATTGCTTGTCGGTTAACACCCACTGATTGAAGGTCGGATTATCCAAAGTTAATTCAATGAAAATCATGTGACAGGATCGCTGATTGATGTCATAATTCGGAATATTCAGAATACGGATTACTCAAAGCTTTTTTGTTTAGAGTAATAAGGTATTATGCAAGAGATAAATCTGCCAATTGCAGGTTTTTCTTTAGGCCTGAAATGTTATATTAACTATTAATTAGACATTTATTAACTTATCCCGAACATAATCAACTCTCGATGGCATTGTTAGCCTTCGATATTTACCGGATCAATTAGACATTAATTAACTTATCCAGACCATAATCAACTCTCGATGACATTGCTAGTCTGCGATATTTACTGGATTAAGATCCCATTTGCTGTATGCCTTCCATTCATAATTTAATCATGAAATGGATAATGGAGACTATGTTTTTTATCGTACCGACTTTAGTAATGATGATCGAGGCTAGGCCGAATTTTTAATCGCTTAATTCTCGGTTCATAGTGGATCAATTTGAGTGAAATTTTCAGCAAATTCCCTTTACATTATCTAGTTTTTAACTATTATAATGAGAACTGCCAGCTCTTTATCTAATCTCCCATAATGTATCTTTAATAAAGTAACAAACCTTCCTCTCTGTGGTTTAAGCCAAGATTATCTAAAAACTGGCGCGATCCATTAGCATCCCAAATCTTGACTCCTTTATCCGATAATTCTTTACCGTTTGTACATCCCTTAATAAACCACAATAATTCCTCCGCTACACCTCTCCAAAATACTCTCTTCGTCGTCAGTAATGGAAAATCTGGAAAATATTTGGTTTGTAATTAAAGATAATTCATTGAACGAGAGAAAGATGTGGTTTAACATTTGCTCCACACAAACTAGGTCATTTTGAGACTAACATATGGTTTAATTTTATTTCAATAATTCATTTGCACGTAGGGGTCTTTAGCAGTGGGAGAAAACCCAATCTGATTAAAATGTATATTTGGTTTCTTTATACTTTTGATGTTCCTACTACACGAAGATCTAACCAGCTGTAGTGGGGGTCGGGTCAGGCGTCATACGAGTGGATTTTGACCCTATGATGTGACAATCTGCTACTTATTGAGAAAAAAGCTAATCTCGTCAGTTTCGGTGAGAAGGCTTTTGAGGAAGCTGCCCCCAAACTATGGAATAAACTTCCCCATTCCATTCGATCATATACTTCTCTGTCATCATTTAAGATTTCTCTAAAAACCCACTTGTTTAATACTAATAGGGCTTTTAATTAATCATCTCTATGATAATTATATCTATAATTTTATACATTACTTCCTTTTACTCAACTTTTATGTATATTATTCACTTTTTTATGTTTTAATCTTATATTTGTTTTGTCAATCACATTATCTTTATTGTAAAGCGTCATTGAGCACTTTTGTGGAAATGGTGCTATATAAATGCTTATAAATAATAATATAATAAATAAATATTTGATTAACCAATCAGCATTAATGTTTCTAGTAGGATACCCACGGTCCAGTTTCATTGGCCAATCCCTCACACCAACCAGACCGCAGGTTATATAACAACTCTTCCAGATCCTAGTGTAGTAAAGACAAGTAAAACGAAATGTTGAACTAATAAAAACGTAATGAAATAGGATCTGTGTTTTAATCAGATTGGAGGAAACCTGAGGAATGAAACTGAAAGTTAGAATTCAACTGCTGTCCAGGCAAAATCATCCTCACAGTACTGTATGGCGTATGCCCTAAGGATGTGAACGGTCACTCGGTTAACCGGTCACGGTTCGTTTGCACTGTTGAAAAAATTACTAATCGGTATTCGTTTTCATGATAACTGACCTTCAAACCCAGGAATGATAGCCACAACATTGTTTTCTTTCACCAAGACAACATAAATATTTCAAATAGCACTTGCCATTTGTAATAAGTCTCGGGAAATTGACGTCATTCAAAGTTTTGACATTTGTGTATGTTATTTATAGCACTCACTGCCAAGCATTAAATAGCCTCAACCGATTGACAAATTAATTGTTTTACAGTATTAACCTCACCACTCCATAAAGTCTCAAAATGAAACAAGTATGATGTGATGAAATAATATTAAAATAGAGAGGATATCATAGTAAAATTGTTTATATTATCACTCAAGTGCGTGATGCTGTGGGGTCAAAGTTGACACACGGGTCACTGAGTGGTACCATACGATACAGCATGGCTTGTGATAGAAACAAGTGTAGTAAATTATTTGGAATTAGCTGACGTTGAATAATCAAACTTATTTTGTATTTAAAAATCCAAAGGTATGATTTCAAATACTGATTTCATAACTAATCTTATTAAGTATTATTAGTGAAGCTTTTTTTTTTAAAAATCAACATGATTTCAATTCAACTGGTCTATACGACATTACCTGATCATTACCTGACTGGTCCATCGTATATACTGACCGGTCCATCGCAAGGGGAGAAATGAAACATCAAGAATGAATGAATGAATGGAATTTGTACAGACTGTTAACTTAAAAGTTGTAATACTTATAATTTAAAAATACCGGTATATTATTAAGTCTTATTTTGGTGCAACAAATATTTTGACCAGTTAACCGGTTCAAGAATTTTTGAACCGTTACATCCTTAGACTATGTCCATCTTCATTAGCCCAGTCAGTGCAGAACAGTAAGATGTCAAACCCTGTTTCATTTTATTTATTCACAAAAAGGTGAGATGGGTTGATGGAGGTGCAAAAGATACTAAGGTGCAAGGTGCAAGGTGCAAAGAGAGAGAGTGCAAGATTTTTATTTCAGTACTTCACATGTAGTAAGCAAATCACAATGGTCAATAAAGACTGGTTACTTAGGCAGACAATCTTGATCCTCAATTTTTTTAATGACATCTAGAGGCACAGTTACACAACACAAGCATGCACATTAACTACTTCTCTATTATCTAATAACGATCAGATTGTGTATCACGGTATCTGGACCATAGCCTGCTTATGACAGACTGAGAAACATTCATTGTCCGCGCCACAACCGCCTGTGTTGTGCCGATCTGTAGCATGCCAAGGGCACGTAACCTTTCATTTTGGGTAAGCCGACGCATATCAAAATTTGTTTTCTGGTCACTAAAACAATTAAACTGATGTTTCCACCCTGGAATTCAATGCAACAATGACTGTAACATTCAAAGTCAGAGTCGTGCAAATCTTGGGTTGGACCCCCATGATGATCCCAAGCATCACCTGCATTCCATGCGGTAGCTATTGGTGCGTTTGGGCGTCACATGTAACTGGAAATGTTTCTTCTGTTAGGTTCTATAGTGACTTTTTTCGTAGTCATTTGCATATTTTAGTATTATGCCCCCAAAATCAAATATCCCCTACTTTTTTGAATAGTATATATGTAATAACACATAAAGGTCACGTTTTCAAGTTAATGATAAATATTCATCAAGTCAGCTTGGCTTACACCAAACTGTAAAATAATAAGAAGAATCCATTAAAATAATTAAAAGCAACCATAATTACAATAATAAGATAAATAATATATCGAATTCCAACTGTCCAGGGATCTTTTACGTGCACAAGGGACCTCGCTCTTTGTCCCATCCAAACGACTAGACAGCCGCATACATATGTAGTAGGGTTTTTGATTGACAGTGCGAACATTAGACGAACCTATACCTTTAGGAAAATAGACCAGAACATTACACTAAACGAGATTGAATAAGTTCACCTTTTCTTAAGTTGTATCTCATCTGCATACCAAATATGGATAATGTATCGACACCCGTTCTGTTCCCACGTTTAACACCACGTTTAATTATTTGTTGAATGGCTTCTAAATACTGTAACTCATCATGTCTAAAATTATAATAACAAATATAATATCTAAATACTGTAACTCATCATGTTTGTACATGTAATTATAATAACAAATACCATATCTAAATACTCTAACTCATCATGTCTGTAATTATAATAACAAATATAATATTTAAATACTGTAACTCATTATGTCTGTAATTATAATAACAAATAAGCACCTACATCGAATAAGCACCTACACCAAGTGTAAACATTCTAGCTCAATTAGAAGGAGAGTTATTGTGTTCCAACGTCTCCACCAATCAAATTGCTTATCCCTGTTTACCCTGAGCAGAAAATGCTCATTATCGAACTTGGTCAAGGTATTGATGTTATGAAACTATACACCATTGCAAGTTTCATCACTCTCACTTAATTAGAACTAAAGTTATCGTGTCCCAAAGCATCAACCAATCAAATTGCTTATCTCTGCTTACCCTAAGCAGAAAATGCTCATCTTCGAACTCAATCAAGGCATTGACCTAATAAACACCTACACCAAGTTTAAACATTCTAGCTCAATTAGAAAGAGAGTTATTGTATCCCAAAAAATGTGACGGACATGCATGGCTCGAAATGTTCACCTGTCTACTTGTCCCCGACAGGTGAATTTTTTGTCTGACAGACCTGTAGTTTTTTTTAAACATTTCGAGGCCTGCGGACATGGATAGACAAACCCATTTTAACATTTCTTCAGAAGACAGGGGACAACTGACCAAATTGGCTGATATTCAATATCCTTCTTTGTTTCACTAATTTAAAGGATGCATATAAATTTCATACTGATCAGATAATTGTTGTCGTTAAGAGCGCAATAATGTGAAACAAGAGCCATAACTCCAGAAGAAATTAACGGGAATTATTGAAATTAAATAGGGGTATTTATCTCAAATGATAAATGTAGACTGTAGAGTTTTCACAAGGAATTCATCGACGATGAACCGATGGCAATATACGAGGTAGTTCAGCTCTGAACGTAGGTCTCATTACACTCGCCCTAAATTTCGTTTCGCCTTGTATGGCCAACATTCCTAAATATGGGCGTTGACCAATATTTAGAGTGTCATGGCGGCGAAAAGGCAACTTGATAGGAGGGGTTGTATTTTTAACAGTGTGTTGTGTCGCTCATGCTGACTCTAGTGAGGTAAGCAAAAGGCGTTTTTACGAGAAACCGATTATGGCTAATCGATTTGCAATTCCTTTTCAAACACATTTACGGCAAAGATTACCCTAATTGGTTTCACCTAATTGTCGTATTTACCACAATGATTTGCCAAATCGATTATGCAAATCTTCCAACTTGCTCACCTGCCGGATTGACGATTCGACTTCCAAGATGGCGTCCCCCAACAAGGGACACGACGTGCCCGACGTTAGTTCATTTTCTTTTGAATTTCACATTAAAATATGAATATCATGGACATTCCTAATGAGAATACAGTACAATTTCTCGTTTTTATTTTTGGGCGGTGTCGCCAAGAACAGAATAAAGAAAGATCTGTTGCCAGGCACTGAAACATACGCCGAGAGCAGCTAAATCGTCCGGGCAGTCAACAAGAGTTGTCACATATTTTTACTCTTTTTTTTGGTAATGAAACATTTATAATACACTAAAATCTAATTAAGAGTAACAATTCATTAAGTAATTATCAGAAAATCATTGGAATTTGTTTAGTTTTTATAAAGTTCTACCCCATGCTAACGTTTAGAAAACGAAACATTTAATATCATGGATTCAGCTGTTCAAGTTATTAAAATTCATTGAAATCAATATACTTGTTCGTCTCAAGACCTTAAACTCTGTGTATCAATCTGAAGTCAATCGGATGATAACTTTAGCCTCTAGAGCATCACAAGATTTTTCAAAGTGATCAAGGGCCATAACTTTGGAAGTAATTATCGGAAATCGTTGAAAATCAATAGGATTCTTCGTCTTATGACCTCTTCCCTCATAGCACACTGTATGGCGTATGCCCGTCTTCATTAGCCCAGGTTAGGAGCAGAACAGTAGGACGTTAAACCCCATTTCATTTCGTATGACCTCAAACACTGCGTATAAATTTAAAGTTAATCGGATATTAACTTTAGCCTTTAAGTCCACAAGATTTTAAAATGTAATCAAGGGCCATAACTCTGGCAGTAACAAACCAAAATCGCTAAAAATCAATAGGATTCTTTGTCTCATGACCTTAAACACTGTGTATAAATTTAAAGTCAAGCGGATATTATCTTTAGCCTCTAGTGCATCCACAAGATATTTTGAAGTGATCAAGGGCCATAACTCTGGCAGTAATTATCGGAAATCACTGAAAATAAATATGCTTCGTCTCATGACCTTAAACACTGTGTAGAAATTTAAGAATTATGACCGCTATAGGGTCCACAAGCTAAAAACATGATTTTTCGTACAATCAGGGGCCATAACTCAGGAAGTTATGATTTGATATGCGCGAAGATCTTTGGGTTATCAACTTACATTTGAAGTTTCATCAAAATCAGAAGAAAATTGTGACCTCTAGAGGGTCCACAACCTTCATATACCATATTTTTACGCTATTTGAGAACGAGGGGCGGCCATTTTGTCTGTTAGTTTTGGGCCGATTTTCACGAAATTCGAACTCAGTCGTCCTTAGGGTGTAATGATGATATAATAATACGTTTTTTTAAATCAGATAAAAATTATGACCTCTATAGGGTCTACAAGTTAAAAACACGATTTTTCGTACAATCAGGGGCCATAATTCAGAAAGTTACGGTCCGATAATCAGTGTTCGACACAAACGTCGACCCGTAGGCCCCAGGCCAACTGATTTATCGGAGGACTCCTGCTTGCCTATTTCACTCTGGTCCGTCGGGCCTTCGCCTTCTTTCTTATCTCACATAGTTAGTGTCCACATACGACAATTCGGGAAATGCTAGAACTGTCATAGAAACGCAACCTCCGAGTCTCCGATAGTTGACGGTTATTGTTTACTTGTCATCGACATGACGGAAGCTGCTGTTTTTCCAAACATTGACTCGCGTAACCAGCCTTTGATTTGTAACTGTTTTTTTGTCGGCTTTAGCCGCTTGAACTTTAAACAAGCCAATTGGTAAAAACAATGAATCGGCCACTATGGTATCATAAATCAATCTACTTTCGGCTAAATTTAACGGGTTAATTATTACTTTTTGATTAAGTAGTCAATCAACTTGCTTGTTGGCTACAATAACAGTCATACCTCTCGGTATGGATCGGGAATCACGCTACTTTGACGCTCCGTATAGATTCCAGGTACCGGTAGATAATAAAATAATAATTGGATCATGCATTTAATGGTTTCGCTGACCAGTTGTTACAGAAATTTAAATCTTAGTTGAATATAATCCTCAGATAGAACACCGAATACACCGAGAAACAGTCATTAATAATATATTTTTCCGACAAAATCTTCAATGCCAAATCCGTCGATGACACGTGACATCAGTTGGAATTTCTAGGTCAATAAGCCAGCGATGCTAGGTTTAGTTTTATAGTTTTAAGTAGCGTTTACCGTTATGATTTTTTATTTGATACACATGCTGGCAGAGGCTAAATATTAAACATATTGTCGTTATTATTATTGAAAACTATATGGCATAGTGGTACGGAATTTTATTTTAAAGCAATTTCAATTATGGTTGTCACGTGATCACTGTGCCCTGTGTCTCTCATGGACGAATGAACAAAAACATATTTGCAAGTTATGTGATAGACAAAAACTAAAATTGTGTTATGAAAAATACCACAGTGCTGTATCATTTTATATCCATCCAAAAAACGAAGACAGTAATTTATTCAGGAATATTACCGACACGAATTTCAAGCCGGAACGTGAATATGGAAAATTTTCCGAACAGTGTAGCTGTAGGCCTACCTATTATTAAAGGTAATGGAAGCTTATAATTTTAAAACCATTTCCTACGGGACCTTATTTGACTCAATTCTGGGCTATTGTGCTAACAATCTAGGGCGGGATAAGCGAGTTTATGCCAACGCCATTCCTCAACGTTATCGCCAGGCGTCAAGTTTTTTTGTGTAATTGTTTGAAGTTGACCTAGTTTAATGAGAAAAACCGTAAATTATGTAGCCATGAATAGATTTGTTGCCATTAAATTGAAATGAAATTAAGTTACTAAACCCTTAGTCCTTCTGTGGTGTACTGGCTTTATATGTACTTCCATTATTCTGATCATTCTGCGCTTCACTTGGAAACTATAAATATTATTATTATTGGTTGGGCCTGCGTGTCACCTGAAGGACCCACATGATCACATGCCACACAGGTCCTGCGGGCCTGTGCTTGGAAAATGTTTGTTTCAGACACTGCCGATAATGCGCAAATATGAAAGGAACCAAGATCTTTGGGTTATCAACTTACATTTCAAGTTTTAACAAAATCGGATAAAAATTGTGACCTCTATAGGGTCAACAACCTTGATATACCATATTTTTACGCTATTTGAGAACAAGGGGCGGTCATTTTGTCTGTTAGTTTTGGGCCGATTTTCACGAAATTCGAACTCAGCCATCCTTAGGGTGACCTGTATAGAGTCCACAAGCCAAAAAACGTGATTTTTTGTACAATCAGGGGCCATAATTCAGGAAGTTACGGTCCGATATACGCGAATATCGAAAGGAACCGAGATCTTTGGGTAATAAACTTACATTTCTAGTTTCAAAGATAGGTTGCCAGGCAACGAAACATACGCCCACAGCAGCTAAATCGTCCGAGCAGTCGACAAGGGTTGTCACATCTTTATTCCTTTGTAGGTAATTGGGGGCCTTTACAAGACACTTCCATACAGATCATATTATAATTTTTGCCATTTGAGGGTTCACAAGGTTCTACAAATTGAAACAAGGGTCTCAGCTCTGGAAGTAATCTACAGAAATTGTTGCATATTAATTTCATACATATCGGATGATAACTTTCATCAATTGAGCATTAACAAGGTTGAACAAAGTGAAACAAGGG